TGTGATGGAAATGACACGGGTGAGAGATGAAAAGCAAGATAAAATCAAGACAGATGTAGACAAGTTTAAAGACGTGGCAGAATTAAAACTTCACTAGAAATAGTAAAGAACAGAATCGGTGCTCTAGGAATGAATGAGTAATGGGATCCATGACTCTGAGAAGGTATACCAAACAGGAAATAAGAGATTTCAAGGATGATGTGGGGGATGACAGTCGTGGGAAATAGAACACTGTCCCCGGCTAACATTTGTCAATTGTTCTGACAAAATCAGAACAATTAAAATATGTGTGAAGACAAAAAGGGGGGTGTGGCTGAATCTGCTTCCTATCAGCTCATCTTGGAGTGGAGGGGAATCAGAATTAAGATCAAGGAGAACAGAACCATAAAGCCGTGTTTCTCAACCTTTCTTATCTCATAGCACACTTAAACCAATAGCTAAACTTCCGTGTCACACTTAAATCACGTTGATCCAAAAAAAGAGAGAAGAAAAAAAAAAAAAAGAATATGCTGTGGCGGCACCTGTGGCTCAAAGGAGTAGGGCACAGGCCCCATATGCCAGGGGTGGTGGGTTCAAATCCAGCCCTGGCTAAAAACAGCAAAAAAAAAAAGGAAAGAAAAGAAAGAATATGCTTACTGTGCTTTGAACTTCTTTTCAAAATGATTTAATTAATGGTCTATAAAATTTTCACAGCCCACATCCATGGCACACCAGTTGAAAATCACTGCCTTAAAGGATCAGTGTTTATTATCCCCTGTGCCTATCTATCCTTAAGAAATAACCTGACATTTAAACTAAGAGTTTCCACGAAAATTATCCCAATATTATTTCCAATGTTGACTATTAGTATCCAAGTAAATATTCAGTATTAGGGGAATACCCAGTTGATGGAACATGATGAACTTATTTGAAACTAAGTTCTGCACTGTTTGTTTTTTCTTAATGATAGAGAAAAACAAAGTCAAGCGAAAAGTCAAGCGAAATTTGTGTACTTATCTAGACTTTTCTCTGTAGTCTCAACTCTATTTTTCATACACTAATCAGAAAGACTATCAATGTTAACTGGCCCTGGAATTAGGAGAGGGTTTTTACACTGTGCTGTACTTTGGAAATTTTCTATAGTAGATAGGTAGCAATTTTATAGTTAAAAAAGGAGAACATTAATAAAAGTAGTGCTGCCTTTTGTCTCTGTTGGTGAACACATTTTTTTCATTTGTAATGGAGCACCAAAAATGCTACATTCAGTGGTTAATCAGCAGGCTGCAATAATCCTGTCATTTTTTTCTTACTGCTTTTTTAGCTGATTTATTTCCTCCTCTGCAGCCAGAAGGGATATGGCCGATCTGTTCCTGGTTTCTTCAAGATTCTTTTCAGTTTCAGCCAGACTGTAAGAGAAATCGGTAACTAAAGATGGATTTTTTTTCAAAATTGCAGACTTTCTAAATCAAGGTGTAGGTTCTTTGGGGGAACTTTTGGAACATAACATAAATTCAACATAAACAAGATTAAGTTATAAGACATTTGCATTCAATCAAATAATATAATATTAGAAATAGTAGGGTGTGCTTGTATGCAAAAACATGCTAATATCCTCTGCTCAATATCAAACACAAAGAAATTACAGAGCTTTTACCCCTAAAAGACTATGTAATAACTGTTAATATTAGAATGTAAAGGACAAAGAAACTCTTCAATTCCATCTTCGCACTCTGCTAATTCACCTGCTCTAACATAACCCGGTCCCCAGGCTGCCTCTCTTTATAATAATCTACAATATTTCAATATCTATTAACATTATTTTGTATTTGACTTTTAAAAATTATGTGCCTACCTATAAAGAAAGTGCTCCTCAATCAGGACTATCCTTCCTGCCCTCCTGCCTCGGACTTCCACCACTTACTGAGCACAATTTCTCTGAGACAAGACCATAAATATGCAAGCAAGTCTGTTTTGTAAATTTCCCGGTACTGTCAATGCTATTATGAGAAAAGCAAGTGAGTGTCAAAGAGAATTAAAGACGGGGAGAAGCAAGACCTTTCAAAGTAAGTCCGAGCCAGACTCTGAGAAAGATGCAATTAAGCCGAGACCCAAGGATAAGGAAGAGCCATGCGTGCAAAGAACCGGTGGAAGTTCTTTCCGTCAAAGGCGTCAGGGCGAGGAAGTCGCCCAATTCAGGGAGACCAGCACGAGATGAGGGTGCAGAGCCAGGGCCAGATCAGGGAGGGTGCTGGGAAAGCCTGGTAAGGAATTTTCAATTTTTTCTAGGTATGAAAGACAGACACTAACAACTTTTAATAAGCAGGGTGACGTGATATAATCAAAAATGTATGTGTTTGCTAAGTGAAAATGTAGTTGAGCACCAACGGAAGCAGGAAGCAGAAAGCCAGTGGGAAGGAAGGCACCCGGTCCAGGCAAGAGATATCGGGTCCGTGAAGGAGGGCAGTGGTGGTACAGAAAGCAAGCGACAAACATGAGAGCCTATATTTAACTGGACATGTTGATGGACTGGGTGCAGGGGGTGAGGAAAAGCAGGATTCGTAACCACAAGTCCTGGGGGCTTCCACCGACCTATGCAGATCTATGCCCATCAGCCCTGTGTTGTTGGCATTTGCACCTTTGGACCTTAGCCAGAACCAAACCCTCCTCCACGAGGTTAGATGTAGGGAAGTTCCTAGGGGTCGGGGTGGGGGGCAGTCATTCCATAGCAGGCAGCACCCTGGCTTTAAGAGACATGTAGACAGAGTATGAGAGGGGAAAGAGTAATGGCTACCCTCAAATACGGGAACAAAGTCCATCATTTGTGATACCGTACATAAAAAAATAGAACGAGAACCACAGGTGGGTTAAAACAGAACAGAACTAGGAAACCCCGGGAAAGCAGGAAGCACCTTCGTGTAGGCAACTCTCAGACCACTGAGGGTGGGTGGGGAGCGTGCGCAGACATAAATGCGAAAGGGGGGGAGGGGGAAGGACCCGTGGGCGTTCTTAGCACTGTTCTTGCAAATTTTCTAATAAAAAGGTTATTTTTTTTTTAAGTATGCATTAAGTTTTCTGGTCCATGGTGCCCCTTATGGGTAACAACAAAGCCAATGTAACAAGAAAAAAAGTGACAAGTCCTAGCCTCTATGGGGGCTGAACCAGCAGAGTCTTGAAGTCCTGCCTCACAACTATAGGCAAAGGAAGGGACCCTAGTCACCTGTCGCACGTGCCAGCTAATGTCCCAAGAGACTTAACCAGACAAGGCACAACTCAGGACCCATCAGCACAAGATGCTAGTGTCCAGGTGGAACCAAGGCCAACAAGAAGCAGAAGGCAGCCCTGGCCTCCAGCACCAGGAGCGTATGTGAGCAGCCCCCCCTAGAGGCCAATCTAAGGAAGGACAGGGGAAAGGAGAACCCACGAGAGGGCAAAAACCACTCTCAACACAAGTTTGCCCTGGGAATTAACTGAATGTTCAGGACTACAACAAACCGAAAAAGCCCGTGTTGCCTTAATGTGGCAAATTTGAGGATTCTCCTCTCTTCCTTCCAAGATCAGCTGACATCAGTTGAAATAAATTGTAAATTTTATCCTGTTGGCGTATTACATTTGTCAATTTTGACTGCTACAGTTAGACAACTGCCCTGACCATGATTCCAAGTGGGAAAATGAGCAGGGCCCCGCAGAAATGCAGACACAAACAAAGAAAAATGTCTGGAATAAAATACACCGAAATGTTACAGAGATGAGATAACTAGTGATTTTCATCTTTATATTTTTACTTGTTGTGTGCATTTTGAGAGGGAAATTTGGATTACTTTTATCATCAGGCAAAACAAAATCAATAGGGAAGTTTTCCTTTGAAAAAGAAGGAAATCAGGCACATTATCAGAAAACCAGAAAACCAGGTACATTATCCTACCACTGGTCTCAACTAGTTAAAAAAAAAAAAACAAAAACAAAAACAAAAACACTTCCCTGCCATCTGTCCTACTCATATGAGCAGTGGTGCAATGCTGTGGTAGGAGAAACACCTCACTGACGGATTTTTGTTAGGTACGTCAAACACATTTCATACCTTCCTCAAGTCCAAACCCAAAGTCTGCGATTTTCTTCTCAGTGATTCCCTAAGATCGCGACCCTGCCTCTGCCCACCGTGGTCATCTGCTCTCTGTTACTGCCTGGCATTGCTTCTTTTAAAAAAAAAAAATCCTTTTTATTCCTAAGAGCTATTCCCAAATCTTGACTTGCTTGTTTCTTAAAGACTCCCTCAGCCAGGCATACAGGTATAGTCCCCGAAACAAGAACAATGGTTGGACAGATGCAGCCTGTCTCATCTTTCTTTTGCTCTCTTTCTCTTAATTTTTACCTTTACCTGAACTTCACACAGCCCTCCCCCAGTTCACGCTTTCCTTTCTGTATCTTTTTTTCAAATTTGCCTCCCAAATGATAGATTTTCATCTAACCATCTTCATTTGTTCATTAATATGGGCTGTTAATGGGCTTATGGAGCCAAGAGACCAGGGATCCTAATATAATAGAAATGTTATGTCCCCAAATTCAAAGACAGGCTCCCAGCTCCCTCCCTCACACACCACACACACACACATCATGTTACTTAGTTGCCAATGCCCACATTTTACATGGGCCGTAATTCTCCTTTCAAATTTAAAATGTAGTTAAACTGAGAATAATTCTTTTTGGAAAAAGATAACTTGCATTCCTCTTACTCGTCTTGAACCTTGTTCAGTTGATTACGGGTTGCGTTCAAGTCGGAGTCTAGTTGTGCTTCCCGATCCCGCTGAATAGGGTCTTTATGTCTCTCCCTATCAAAGGTGTCCTAAAGAGAGACACAAATCAAAAAAGGAATCTGAATACATGAAATGACACAGATGTTGTAAAAGCACTATACTGAACTATAGAAGCCTTACACATAATAATAGATAGTTCTAAGTACACCAAGTTCTAGGGCAAGCAATAGTAATCCAGAATGATAAAAATCAGAGGAGTGGTTACCCTGGGGGTGGCCCAAAGAAGGCTCTGGAATGATTGAAATGTTTTATATTTCATCCAAGGGGTGAGCTGATGTGGGTATAATGCATCTGTCAAAATTCACCAACTTGAAAAAAGTCTTTGGACATCATCCTACATCTCTATACCCAAACTATCACCCACAGGAGGTGAAAATCTGAGAAGCACCCAAAAATCCTCGGAGAGAAAAATTGCTTAACGACCCCTGATGTCTGCAGAGCACTTAGCACGTGCTGGGCTCTGTGAACACTAGGTCAGGTGCTCATCGTATTTAATTCTCACAATGATGCTATTAGGTCAGCAAAATCATTGTCCCCATCCAGCAAACAAGCAAACGGAGACATAAATGTTCAGACATCTCCTGAGGGCCATAGGAGAACGACAGGTTTTCTTCCCAGGGATCTCCAAGCAGAGACTCCCTCAGCCACTATCTCATAAGGCTCTATTGCTCAGGACAGCCTGCACTAAAGCTTCTGTTTTAGAAAACAATTTAGGTTAAGCCATATCAACATTTAAAATAATATTGCTGAGGTTTTGGTTTCGCAGATACAATGATGTGTTGCATTAAGCAAGGTCTGTGGTCTCTATTCAGTCTGATCTCCAACTTTTTGAGAACTGCCACCATCCCATGGAAACCACCAATATCGATCACAAATTACAGACATGCTTTGCCCGTCTGCGAGAATTACGTGTTCTTGTTACCTTGGAAGTTTCCGATTGGTTCCGAACAGTTTCACCCCTTTAGAAAGCCCAGGGTTAGCATTTCACATCCTTACCTGTAGAGAGGGGACCCTGCTGTCAACGGGCTTTCCCATGGAGGCAGCAGTAAAGGAGGCCTCCAGCCAAGGCAAAAGGCGCGACTTGATTGTCTCCACTCCGTCATTGTGTCCTCCTGGAGGAAGACAGACGCCAGTCAGCAAAAGACCCGTGACCGACCGCACCAACTCAGTGAACACAGGAGAGAGCAACAGAGAGAAGGGAGAGCAGGAAGGAAGCGCAGCCCTGCTCACCTTCTTGGGCTGCGGTTGTGAGGATCCCAAAGAGCTGTCCCTGCACTTTGGCGACTTGTTCAATGATTTCGAGGCAATAGTTCAGATTTTGATCACATGTGTTTGTCTGTAAAGCCAAAACAACAGATATCAGGGCAATTCCTTCACTCTGGGGCCGACTGCAGGTAGACCGGGGCCTCATGGGACCCGATGTCAGCCTGCTCTGGTAGGCTTCCAGTGGCAAAGACCGCTGTGCAGCCACTGAACCTCTCTCCCCTTCCTCCTGGACACACAGCTACACCACTTTCCCCATTTCCTTTGCAGTCCATGTGGCCACGTCACTGAGTTCCGGGTAATGGGATGCACAGTGCTGCGTGCCCTGTCCAGGCCTGGCCCCAAAGAAAATCTCATAGGTGATTCTTCTCTTTCTCTTTCCCCATCTGCCAGCCTAATGCAGAGGAATCAGTAGAGGATCGAGATTTGTAAGGCTGCTGACTGAACACTTGACGGTTTCGTGATGGAGAAAGTCAGCTTATATGTGTTAAGCCATTGAGATCCGGAGGTGGTTTTTTTATAGCAATAATCCTACTCAGTAGAACCCCACAAACAATCCTTTTATAAAGCAATGGTCCCTTTGCAACAGAATCTTGGCTCCTGTCCTCTACATAAATTGAGTTTTTATATTACATAGGCATGGAGAATACTACTTAGCAGCAAGGAGATCTCACGGGATGAGGGTACGGAGGATAATGGGACAATAAGATGGCACGTGCCGACTGGCAGAGCAAGGAGGCCAGTAGCCCGTCACCCCACAGGGTGGTAAACCCTTACTATGCAGCCAGCACACGGTCCACTGCCTCAGACAGGCGGGGAAGGCTTTGGAGAGGAAGTGAAATCAGGCCAAGAAATCAGGCAGGCTTGGGAGCAGGTGGTAGTAGTGGTTGCAGAACATTCTAAGCAATGAGAACAGAACACAAGGATGCCAAGAAGTGGCCTTTCTGCTATTCTGCTTTCATCATCCCTTGGTGAGCTTCTGTCCCTTCATCCTTAGCCACGCCTCTAAGTGGTGCCAGCACTGACAGGACTGCATCTACAGGGACAAACACATCACGTGGGTCAACACGGCCGAGATTTATCTGCCACCTTAGGCCATAGTACAGCACTGGCCTCAGTGCCTTCGAGCACCACACATCTCAGGTCAGGAAGCGGCTGCAGGAGGATAAAAGCCACGATGAAGAGGAGCAGTGTAGACAACCTCTAGGCAAAACTTTACAAGTAAAATGCACAGCTGTGACAACCAGGGAACTCGTTCAGACAGGCAGCCAGCTCCTTGAGGCCACTGGCCGTGCTGCGCTCTGTTGTATTCCCAGCCCTGCCTTCTATAGTGTCTATATATTCAAACTCAGTATATTTTGAATGAAAATGAGACGGTTCACTTTCTTTGCATTTTGTTATACACTTGCTATATGCCGGCCACTGCCGGTGCCTTACCCATTCTCAGACAAACTCAGTCAGTACCTCTGCATGTGTACATTATGAGATACAAGTACTCTCATTATCGTTCCCATTTCAAAAGGGAAAACTGAGGCACCGAGAGGCAAGTAACTTGCCCAAGGCTACCCAGCTTGTAGACTGTCAGAGTTGAGACTAGAACCCACACAACCTGGTTCCAGAGCCCATGTTCTTAACTACTAAATGGTACTGACTTCTCCATCCTGATTAGTCTTGGGCATAGACAGAGGACGGGAGGATGAGACAAAGAGTGAAGGGGGGGGCAGCCAGGGAAAACCTCCCTGGGAAGGGTACCCTGGAGCACGTCCTGGATAAGACTCAGGGAAGCAAAGCACGAGGGAACAAGGACACCAGACATCGGGACAGCAAGCTTTCCTGAGGCAGAAACGAGCGTGGCAGCCTTCAGGGCCAAATGTAGGTCAATGTGGAAGAAGCACAGAAGGTCAAAGAGGTTGGCAGGACAGATCCCAGAGGGCCCGGCAAGCCTGGCAAGGAGTTTGGATGGGATGGATTTGTAACTGAGAGGGTCGCCAGTTGACTTTCCACGCCCAGTCTATATATAGCAGCCAGGGACTAGCTCCGTTAGAGCACTGATTTCTCTTACAGTTGTTTCTCTCTCCTCTCATCCTTCTATCCTCTCCTCCCCAGAAGACCAGGAGTTTATTTTTAAAAGCAACTTTGTCTTTTTCTTTTTTTTGCCACTCGTAACTGGAAAATGTTTCATGAGTAAACAATTTACCAACGTGACGCTGACATGACCAGAATACTTAGAACCCGTGGCCTGAACAGCTCTCTCCACTCCTTCCTCACTGAGCCAGCAGCTCCTTGCCCTGGCCATTTAAACCTACACTCATTACACTGAGTTCAAATACCTGCCCACAAGCCTTTTGCCCCTGGCTAGATCATGCCACATGCGCAGGGGACAGAGAATGAGTTCAGGAGTGTCTCAGCTCTGCCACTTGCCACAGCTCTGTGGGTCCTACACAACTTATTCAGCCTCTCTGAGCCCATTCCCTCCCTGCACAATGGCTATAACTGGTGGAGTGTTAGGAGAATTAAATCAAAATAATGCCATGCCCAGCTCGTCACATACAGAGGTATTCACCAATTGGTACCTACGAGGTGGCATGCTGTGTTGAAGGGAGCCAGGGGCTCAGGACTAAGGCAGACCTTTGCTCAAATCTGGCTGTCTGCTTCTGAGCTGCACTGCCTTAGGAAAGACATTTAAATATGAGACTCAGCTCGGCGCCTGTGGTTCAAGTGGCTAAGGCACCAGCCACATACACCTGAACTGGTGGGCTCGAATCCAGCCCAGGCCCACCAACAACAATGACGGCTGCAACCAAAAGAAATAGCCAGGCGTAGTGGTGGGTGCCTGTGGTCCCAGCTACTTGGGAGGCTGAGGCAGGAGACTTGAGCCCAGGAGGTAGAGGTTGCTGTGAGCTGTGATGCCACAGCACTCTACCCAAGGGGATAGCTTGTGGCTCTGTCTCAAAAAATAAATAAATAAATAAATAAATATGAGACTCCATTTCCTCAGATTTAGGAAGTGGTTGCTCTCATGAGCTAATTTAAGAGCAGAGCCTAGCATGAATGGAAGTATTACTGTGGTCCTGTTACCATCTGTCCTGTGCCTTGCCAGGTGCCAGGTGCATAATGGGTGCCCAAAAGAATGCTGGTCTGATGAGTTTGTATACACAACCTAAATAACAGAAGAGAAGATCTGTGCCAAGCAATACCTGTTTCCAAGACAGGTCTCAACATGCTGCAACTTCTAAACACAAAGCCTTGCGCAAGATCCTTAACTGAAATAGGGCGGCATCAATCTATTAAACACATGTGCGCACTAGGGAAATACAGCAAAGATAGGAACCAATTATACCGTCTCCAAACCATAGACTCTCCATAATCATTCATTCATAATAATTGAGTTCCTGTTATAGGTAAGGCCCTGGCTTGACAGCTCAGGAAAGGAAGCCATGCTTTAAAAAGGGAGGGGGGCAGAGTGCTTACTGTCCTGAACTCAGCAGCCAAGGAAGCACACAGGGAATGAATAATTACCTTAGAGCAGAGGTCCTCAAACTTTTTAAACAGGGGGCCAGTTCACTGTCCCTCAGACCATTGGAAGGCCGGACTGCAGGCCCCAGGATGAGTCGGCTGCTGAGCAAGACAGGCAGCAGCAGCAAAAACACCTGGGAGGCCGGATAAATGTCCTAGGTGGGCCACATGTGGCCCGCGGGCCATAGTTTGAGGACACCTGCCTTAGGGTTTCTGTCATGTGTTCTGTGTGGACAGAGAGCTATAATAAGAGCAAAAGAAGCACTGGGGGGGTGGGGGGGTCAGGGGTGCAGGGAAGGGGACTTCAAGAGGACAGCAGGTACTGAGGGCAGGAGCAGCAAGGCACATCAGGGGAAGTGAGTACAGAGACCAGAGACCAGATCTGAAAGACCTGACTTGCCATTTTAAGGGCTCTGGGCTTCATCCCATCATTGAAAGATTTACCAAGGCAAGCATACTTTGGGAGGAAGGGTCTGACATGCTCCGGTTTGCTTTGCATTTTATGAAAATCACTCTGGCAGGAACAGACCAGAGATAGTTTGTGTTAGACAGTGAGCCTGGTGGGAGGCAGACAGGTATAACCATGTGGCTGCAAGGTGCTGAAGGCTGTGGAGAGTCCAAGAATCCCCAAAGTATTTCCCAGCCTCGAGTCACATGTGTATCAGTCAAATTCCCCCTGATTCAAGCACTGCCTGAGGAAGAGGTCAAGGGATGTGGAAACAGATCAGAGGTGTGAGAGGGATGATACTGAGCCTGGGTTTGCCCAGCTGAGGGGCCGGCAGCACCTTCAGATGGAGATGTCTAGTAATACCGCCAAACAATTGGTGAGCACCTACTCTATGCCAGCCAGTCCCCGGACTAAAAGATTTATATGCACAGTTTTATTTAATCCTAAAGCAACCCTACAAACAGGATGCCATCACCATCCAACATTCACCATGGAGGAAAAACAAAATCAAATAAGATTGACAGAAGAGGCAATGGCTGAGTTGGGACTTCCCCCTTCTCACATCCCCCAGCGTGGGAGCCTTCCCGTCAGCAGGTGGAAAGGAAGCTTGGAGCTCTGAAGAGAGGGGGGAATCTGAGATGTGGCTTTGAAGGCCTTCAGCAGATGGGAGCGAGTGGATGCCACATGTGCAGAAGAGACCACCAGGGAGAGGAGAAAGCTGGGAGCGGGCTGAGGGTAGATGAGAGGGCAATCTTGCTATGCCAAACAAAAGGCTAAGGAAGAAGAGTCCGTGGATGAAAACAAAACAAGAGCAGTGAGAAGAGAGGACAACCAGGAAGCAGCCTGGGACAGTCAGCCCCACCCTCCCAGGCTCGCCACCAATGCTTCTCTCCCCCAGTTTCTATTGCTCACCTTGAATCATTCCCACAACATGAAAAAGAGAGGGGAAAATGTGATGATTACACTTGTCACTCAATTCATTAAAGTTATTAATACACATTTTAATCAACTTTTCATCTTCAGTTTGGAAAGCCATTTAAACCCATCAATTTCAGTACAAAACACAGCAATTTCCACTTTAAGAAACTTCAATCTCGCCCACACAAAAT